TACAGTACGGGGGGGCAGGAAGGCACAGTATAGGGGAGGAAGGAGGATACAGTACAGTGGTTAGGAGAGTACAGTACAGGGGGAGGGTAAGTGGACACAGTACAGGGGGCAGGAGGGTACAGTATAAGGGCAGTAATGTATAATACAGATATTGTCTCCTCAAGCAGAGCTACGCAGGAAAGCAGCTGTCACAGATCCTACCTATTCTGGCAGGCTGTCGCTGGGCTTAATCTACAACTGAAATTACATTTCCCTCTCTACCTTCCCCTCTGGAGTTTCTGGCTCTCTTCTGGTGCTTTGCAGGGGCTAAGGAAGAACCCCAAGGTGGAGCATCTTATTACTGCTGCTGCTTGAGTGGGCGGGATGTTTATTGTGCCAATCACATGGGATGAATAAGAGAGGAGGGTCAGCAGGGATTGGTGCAGTACACATCCTGTCCACACAAGCAGTAGCAGTAGTAAGATGCTCCACCTTAGGGTACTTCCTTAACCTCTGCAAAAAATGGGGGGGGGGGGGAGAGGTGATGCTGGGAACCATGGGGTAAGGGAGGGGGGGGTAGTAGATGAGGGATAAGTAGAGAAATGGAGGGAAACTGGGAGATCCTGGTGTGTATAAAGATAAAAAAGGAGGAGGATTTGTGCTGGCATGAAGGAAGGGGGGGGGGGAGAATCAAATGGATGGGGGTCAAGGGGACTGGAGAGGGATGGTCAGGGATGGACATGGGGGAATACTGCTGACTGGTGAGGAATAACCACAGTATAGCTAAATCAAATGGGCTAGCTGGGAGAGAGGGAGTGATTTCCATTGAATAATACAGAGTCCATGTGGGGGTGTGCAGGGTTGGGGATTCCAGCCATTTGCAGTGTTTGTGTATGGGAGACAAACTTACATACACACACAAACCTGTGTGTGAAGGTGAAGTGGCTCCAGAGAAGAGGCAGACAGATGTGGAGGGAGGGGGAGTGAACTGGAGGGACTCTTGTTAAGAAAGTGTCAGGAACAGAATTCCAGCCATTTGGGGGACGAGACTGTGAACTAGCAGGACTGCTAGCCTGGTATAAGGGAGTGTGGGTTAACAACGAGTTCTTGATTCAACAGGTCTGGCAGTAATCAGAACTTGGTATGGCAAATTAAATTTAACTCACCTTTCCAACTGTGGTTAATCACAGTTCATTCATGATTTAGCAAAGGGGACAATTACTTTTTCACACAGGGCCAGGTAGATTTGGTCAGCCTTTTTCCTTTGAAAATGAAATCATCATTTAAAAACTGCATTTTGTATTTACTCTTGTTACCTTTGTGTAATAATAAAAGATGATCTAAATAATTTAAGTGTCGCAAATATACAAAAAAAAAAATATTAGGAAGGGGGCAAATACTTTTTAACAGCACTGTAATTTAAAGCCTTACAGAAATTCTAAATCTTTTCCAGTCTCTTCAAAAAAAAAAAAAAACTTTAACATGTATGTAGAGCCATTTATTACTATTGTTATTATAGGGTTTTTTTTGGTTGAGTAGAGAAGGATTAGTACCCCTGTCCAGTGTTTTTATTCATCTCCAGTCCTCACTGGGGAAATTCACCCTATCCATTTGTTCTTGAACTATTGTCACCAGGTTTGAAAGCAGTTGAAAATCCAAACTATTGAGCTGTTAATGGAATATAAATAGAAGTGAGGTGAACTCTTGTTTAGTGGCAACTGTCCAGGAGAGGTTTTCCTTAACTTTGAAGAGATTTTCTGTGATGTCCCCACAGTTCTCGGAGACAGGAAGTGATGGAAAATCTCCCCGATCACACAAACACAAAAGTACTTTAGAGGATTTTAACCATTTCCTACTCTATCCAAGACTAAAAAAGTTATATAGTTTACAATAGATCAACGTGCTGTAAGGACCCTGCCTTAGCTACACTGCATACAGTTACATGCTACATTGCAGCAATTTTAGTATTGCCATCTCTATCAGTACTTTTATTACTATTTCTGTATACAGTATACAGCACCATCATTTATTGTGGTCCTTCTCAAAGTATTAAATAGCATCTAGGCAACAAGTAAGCTCCAAGGAGCAGGGCCCTCAAATCCCTCTTGTATTGAACTGTATTGTTGCTGTATTGTCTCCCGTTATATTGTAAAGCACTGACCAAACTGTTGGTGCTTTATAAATCCTGTATAATAATAATAATAATAAGTAAAATCCCTGTGAGTTAGCAGTGTTGTCCAGCAATCACCACAGCTGTCAGAAAGTTTACTCAATTTACCTTAATGGGTAATTACACTTTTGTTAAAAGAGGATATGTGTATATTTACTACATAAGGCATTTTGCATTCTAGTTTATTAAATTGGCATTCTTTGCGCAATCTGCAGCCAGCTATGATAATAATCTTTTTTAAATGGGAAAGCATTAAAACAAGGTTTTCTTGTATGGAGAAGAAGGGGTTTGAATTGCTGGTGTCTAAGACTCACCCAGAAAAGTTATGTCTAGCTAATTGCAATTATCTTACTGCTACGGACATGTCTTTTTCTTACAAAATGAAAAAACCTATAAGTCAAGTACTTTCATGTTTTAAATTGAGCTTTCTAAATGTGAGAGGGTGAGGAGCCTACAATGGGTGTGTTAAGCAACAGCTATCCATCAGACATGTTCTCAGATCACCAGATTAACCACAAACAGGATTGGTTGGACTTGTGCAGTACAGTAACGTCTGGATGAAAAACTGAACTACTAAGTATGTAGGCTGTGCTCCCTTTACACATCTCAAAGTTTAAATGATAATTGCACAGTTAACACTAATTGCACTTGTACTTTTGCTTCTACTCTTGATCTAAGCTAACTTCGCTCCCCTACCCTCAATACATTCCTACCTGAACTAAACAGCAGGCTTGCAAGAATCTTCAGAGCGTCCAGCTCCAGTCCCTTTGACTAAGCCTCTGCAGTTGATATCTATAGAGTTCTGTAGGGTTGCCAACTAGCTCAGGAGAAAGCCTCATAGAATTTATGAGAATCGATTATATAGGTCCATGAAGAGATTTTTATCCACAGGCTTTGAAAATTCCTTCAGGTTGAAGCCAGCAAATTTAAAGTAGGCATCTTGGGTGGAGGTGAGGGTGTTAATTTGTGTTTAAAAGGAAGAGGGGAGGTTAAAAGGGATAAAAAACATTTATGTGAAATGGCTATTACCCTTTCATTTTTAGTTTTAGTGTGCCATTTTAAAAAGATGAGATTAGGTAAACTATATATATAAAGCACAAGATACATATTAAAGTATTTACAACTCCACAGCAAGCTTTAAAAAAGGAACACACTGTTGAGGTGAACGCTGTGTCCATCGATACTATACCTGCATGTAATTATCAAGCATACACTACAGAAGAAATTGGACTTTATTTTGCCTTTTAATATGTAGGATGTAAATCGCATAGAGAGATTCTGCTGACTTTTCATAACTCATTACAGATACAAGTCAGCCTCTGAAGGCTGAGATGTATTTATTAGAGTTTTGTAATGAGTCTGTATGAAGTGAATTATACAAAGAGCAGACAAGAAAGATACCCAGAGGCAGTAGCGAGTGGGCGTGCAAATCAGGTAAACACAACACATGTACAGTTTTTGCTCTTGTCTTAATAAATGCTTAGCAATACAATGCACAATTGCCAGCCAAGTAACATCATGACTTATCATATATAGCCTCGATATTTTAGTTTGTGAGCCTGCAAATGTATATGTAGGGCAAATACAGCAACCAACATGTTTATGCATGTGTTGTTTCTCCCTAGAGCATTTAGTACACACAGCAAATCCAACATTTTCACAGAAATACTTGATGCAGAAGATACCATAACTAAAAAGTTCTGATGCACTACCTTCTATGCTGAAGCCATTATGATGGGTCATCCACCTCTTTTTAGTTGCACGTGACTCAACTCAATAACCACAATCTTCTTTGTAGTTGCATGTGACTCAACTCAATAACCACAGAGATGCTGGCAGAAGTCAGAAAACCTCTGATTCTCCCAGAGCAGAGATATAAACATTTCATTTGTCAATCAAAGTTACATGCCCAATGTATCTGAAAGGATGTTGCTAATTTACTATGCATCAGGAAAACGGGTCTACTGTGTTGGGGTAAGGTCAAAATCAGTGCCAGATGGAGACTGGTATATTAAATACACTAGCCACAATGTTGCATTTTTTTTTTTGTTAAAGTGGAGTTCCACCTGAAAAAAAAAAAAAAAGTCAGCAGCTACAAAAACTGTAGCTACTGACTTTTAAAATACAGACACTTACCTGTCCCTCAGTCCAGGGGTGTCCTCACCACAGATGGTTTCACTGGCTGTCTGCTCTCCCTGGTGCCAGCATCTTCAGTGTGGGCACCTGGCTGTGACAGCTTGTGGCTTCACAGCCGGATGCCCACTGCGCATTCACAAGAAGCGCTGCGCTTTGTGAATAGCCTGTAGTCTTCTGGGACCTGTCATGTGTCATGTGGAGGGAGGGGGGGAGGACAACTTCCGCTTCTAATTGCCTAGGCGATCGCAGAGGAAGTGGGAGCGGGTACCTGTCAAATTCGGGTTACCGCTCCCCAAAGGTGCCAATCCTTAATGGGGAGCGGGGGACAAAGGCCTCCCCTTTTGGGTGGAGCTCCACTGTAGCCTCCCTAATGGTGTGATTATGTCAGTATTTCTGTGCTCAAAGCAGTACATTTTTTTGCATGGAAATATGTAGTTTTTTTTTATTGTAGGCCTGTACTTTTTAGGAATAATTAACTGAAATCTGTCCGAACAAGAGTCTAGTAAACATACCAGGTATGTTAAAATTTGAAACCCAAAATCGTAATAAATAATCATAAAAATAATAATATAACAATAATAAATTTAATTCAATAATATAATCAAACCAAAAACACTGAAATTTGAAATATAGCGCTAAGTTTGCACATCACTGAATAAAGTTGCAAAATCGTTTTCAGTGTCTGATGACGAATTTCCCCACAAATCATTATCACTCAATTCTGCAAGTGGTTCTGATTTACTATTGCTGTTCTCTAGCTGGTGTAAAACTGCTTTTGACCTAAAGGGACACTTTTTGGACACCATGGACATTTCTCAGTTTCAATGCAGAAAGAACAGTAAAAATGCAGGCAGGGCACAGGACAAAGCACTAGAGACAAAATGTATGTGAAATGCTTTGATACAGTAATGTTTTACTATGTGATTTTAGTGTGTTTTGTGAATGTCACTTTTTGACATTTTTAAATTTCCCACCGGTTCTGTCCCCGTACGTCTTGATGTCGCAGGGAATGGAACCCGGAAGACAGATGCCGGCATCGGCCGGAGGACATGGACGGGAACGCTGCAGGGGGGACATCGTGGGAGCGAAGGACAAGGTAAGTGAAGAAGAGATCCCGGAGCAACTGCAAGGTGCAAGGTATTCCCGAGTGTAGCTCGGGGTTACCGCTTGTGGTGCTGAAACTTTACCCCAAGCTACACTCGGGAATACCTCCAGGGAGGTTAAATAAATAACCAGTATATAAATACCTTAGGAAAGGGATCAGTTACCTAAACAAATATAGTCTTAATTGCACTGGTACTATGATTTGTATGATTTTCCATCTACTATATGAAATCAACATATATATATTATTTTTATTTTTAGGCTCCATGCACGCTGGCTTAAAAAAACTCCAGTGCTTTTGGCAGGAAAATGCCAATTTGGAGCATTTTTGTACCAGCATTTAGGAGCATTTAGCAACATTTAGGAGTGTTTCACATTTTTTTCTGCCAGAAAATGCTCTCAAAAATGCAAAACAGAAGGTTTTTTTCTGCCTTTGAACACTGAGCTTAAAAAAATGCCTCTAGACTACCTAACTTGCATGGACACATAAAATGCAAATTAGTTGCTTCTACAGGAAAAACACTAAAACTCTAGATGCAGCGTTTTTTCACGCCAGTGTGCATGGAGACTTATTCTAATCCAGTGTTTCTCAACTCCAGTCCTCATGGACCCCCAACAGGTCATGTTTTCAGGATTTCCCTCAGATGAAACAGCTGTGGTAATTACTAAGGCAGTGAAACTGATCAAATCACCTGTGCAAAATAAAGGAAATCCTGAAAACATGACCTGTTGGGGGTCCATGAGGACTGGAATTGAGAAACACTGCTCTAATCAAACAAGCCAGCTCCATTCTAATCAGTGTTTTTGCCATACATCTAACAATATTTCAATTCAATTCAGATACTCTGACCTTTTGATTGTTTTGATGTAGATGTAGAGCAATAAATTACATGTGTTCTAAGATGCTTGGAATTTCCACTGTCCCATATGAATTCTCTCTGTGACCTTCAACTCTGCCCTGCTATCATGTCTAAGTCATGAGCTATTAGCATTATTATGTAGTTACCTATAGCACACGCTGCTACCAGGGATTAACTCTCACCATATTATACAGGGAGCCTGTTATTGTCATAGTTATTTCCTCTATTATTCTAAGACAATGAATGGGTTAATTATATGAACAGTGAGAAAACGGGTATGCATTTTATGAAATAAGAGTTTTTTGTCGTTTGAATTAATCTTTCATGTGTGCCATGCATAAATGTATAACAATTATGTCCCTTCTGTCTGCTAAATAAATAATTAGCCGCTGTTAGTGTTGTGAAATTCATCGCATGCATTTATTTGACACATAACTACTCCTGATTTCTGCTGAGGTTCAAGAGCTACCTGATCTTACTACACCAGAGAATAACACTACCAGGAGGAAAAGAGGAAAAAAGACACTGTATATATAGTAAAACCAGCAGAAAAAATATTGCAATTATGAAAAGCATAACCAAGCAGACCCTATAATCCCTTAAGTCCAAAGCTAGTTAAACAATAGAACCAAAGAAAAAGAGATGTTGTCCATAGTAACCTATCCATTCAGTTGTTGATAAGATCAGAGACGGTTCATTTTACAGTAGTTTCCATGTCTCAATTTGCCATTTTCTTATAGAAGCCAAGCTGCCAATCTGCTCATTGAGTATCTCATAAAATCCAGTAAAAGGAATGAAATTCCTAAGGCCTGTATGTAGGCAGGTGCAGTTAACTAGTCGTCCACTAGGTGGCTCTGTGCCAGCATAGTGTCTGGTTACAGAAGATAGTGTCATCAGGTGCTAGGTCCCTTTTAGTTAGAGCCCTCCTGTAGTGATGTAATAGGTGAGTCAATACCCACATAGGGTTCGGAGGAGACCTAGTGCAGCTGGGGTATGAGAGCCAAACACTCCACATCTATGTAGATGTAGACAGAAAATGTGGGCCCTGGACAGGGCTGGAGGCCATGCAAAGGTAGACCTGCACCCAGGAGAGCCGGCCATGGACTTCCTAACCCTTATGGGTGGAGACAGACTGTTTGAGGTAAGATAGGTTACTTTAATGATGCTTTCACATTTGACTACTGCGGACCATCTACTAAAATGTGATTTACAATGTACCGTTAAATGACCCCAGATAGTATGTTGGTGTGATGTGCCATTTTCCAAGTACCACCAGTAAAGCGCATGGACTCTACCTATGCTACTTATGTAAGGCCACTTTTATGGACAGGGGCAGATGACAGAGGGTACAACCTCAGCAGGAGGGTCTCTGTTCTAAGAAGGATAGGAGCGGGGCAGGAACTTGTACTCTTGGCGCCAACATCTAGCCAAGCATAAGCCCCCTCTTGCATATTATTTAGTCAAATAAAATCACTTAAAGTTAATATAATACAATTTATAAAGTGCAGAATAATGCAATACCTGGTCTAGACTTGAAGTCTTACTTGGAAATCTTGGAATCCCTGAGATATACGTTGGCAGGTGATTCAATGTGCTGATGCCTACCTAGAGCTCATATCTTTGGTTGGGGTGGTTTTTCCCTTTAAATGTAAATTACCAGTTCTGCCATTGACAAAATTTCATTGAAAACTAAACTCACAACTTCTATTAGTAAGCTGAATAGGACAAATATACTTTTTTTTATTTTCCTGAGAGTGAGGAGAGGGTATATTAAGGACAGTTTAGGTCATTTCAATTAGTGTTCTTTTATTTGTGCTTTTTTCTTTTTTTTTTTTTAAATGACATTTTGTTATCATGTGTGCACTTAAATAATGTTTTTTTTAACTTTATTTTTGTATTTTTTATATTTTTCCTTCTGTACTAAAACTGGACATACTGTGACTAATGAGTGGACATTGTAATAGCAAAAGAGCAGATATAGGAACATTTAAAAAAGCTTCCATAATTGTCAGGAACAATTTAAAACCCCCTACACCCTTAAAAACACCCATGCTGATTTAATATTGCTGTCTCCATCACCTTCAGACCATTTCTTCAAAATGGAAAAATTTTGCCAACATCTCTCATCTCCCTATTATGACCAAATTCCAAGCACATGGAGAAAATGCAACTCCATGTTGCAAAGCAGAGGTTCTTTTTACTAAACCACTGTACTACTCAGTGCCTTTCTGTTACTGACCTGGCTAGCCATTGAACTGTTTATATTTTCTTATTTGTTGCTATCTTGGCTTGTTTTCAACTCTGTCTTTGCCTGCCTGTTGTTAAATTGGCTAATTCCTGACCAGAGCTTGTCTCTGTTGATTCCCCGGTGTGCCCCCAGACCACCACCTGATCAAACCCTGTCTACTATCCTGCTTGCTGTCTAATGTCACAGTTGTGAACCTCCACTTTTCTCAAACTACGCTTCTGTCCTGCTGTAAGTTTCTGCTAGCTGCTGTTACAGTTTGCTCTATGTAGGGCCAGATAAGACATTGGGGGACCCCTTATACACAGAGTTGGTTTACATTCTCACATTTTTAAAATGCATGACACATCATTCTGAGGTCACACATGCACATACACATGCAGTCATAGCGTTCTGTGTGTGATTCGCTGGATTTGCCAAACTTATACCAATCCAGAGTAAAAATGTTTATAGATGATGGCTAGCAAAATATTACTTCCCAAGATACATTTAATAAAATAAAGTAATTTTTTAAATTATAAATTATTTTACATTTTTTATGGAAGGGGGTCCCTTCTGTCAGAGGGGCTAAGGGCAGTTGCCCCTTTTGCCCTCTTATAAATCCGACACTATCTCTGTGTTGACTGACTCCTTTTGTGATCTTGCTCCTCAGATGACGTCTCACTGGTTTGATTTAGCACCTCAGAGTCAAGTCTTCTACTAGAGATAGTCCTCTCATCCCCTGTTCTCCACACTCCATGGTTGTTTGGAAAAAAATTATAAGGTAAGCTTTCACATAACTTTGGCCTTTACCAGGTATGCAATACAATAGGAAACCAGCACCTATAGATTACTCTATTACAGGAAATTGCACCAAGTGTGCTCAAATGTGCAGTCAGTCATGCCACACGCAAATGTTAGATTTCAGTATAGGTCAGTGTAATCAGCAATGAGAAAATAAACAGTTTTAAGGGTTTATCCAATGTTAGACAGTAGGGTAAAACAATTTTTGGTTAGAGTCAGGGGTGAGGGTGTTTAACTTTAAAGATTAGGTTAAAGGATGAGTGTTTAAGAATACTGTAGGCTAAAGATAAAATTAAACTTGTCACAAGAAAGCCAGGCAGCTAGCATTTCAGACAGCAACCTCTGCAATGGCAACCTTTCTCATTTTAGATATTTATTATAAAGTTTATGTAAAGCCAAAACTTGCCATGGGTCTTAACTTTTCCCTACTTCCCAAAAACTGCAAAATGTTTTGACTTCACATTTTAAGAATCTATTTAAAATGTTTTAAACACGTTATCCATACAGATTTTACCTTGGATTCACACATTTTTCATATTGGAATTTATTGGAAAAATGTGTGAATCCTGGAAGAAGGTTATGCTAATCTTATGTGAAGAGATGTATAATAAGCCCCTAAGCGTTAAGATGTAAGTTAAATGTTCATGTCTTCTGACTGAAACATGTAGGCATGCTGACCTAGATGCCAGTTAACCGGCTTCAGTGCTTTCTGAATCATTGTCCCAGAACAAACATGTAGCAAGAAAAGTCAGAGTGAAGTCAGAACCTTTCAGTTGAATACTAGCTCCAGGTCAATGACAGTCATATTTTTTAGTCATGACTAGAGATGAGCGAATCGAAGTAGGCGAAGTGGAATTCGTTTCGAATATTAGGAAAATTTCGAAGTCTTCAATAAGCAGACTTCGGATGCGCGAATCGAAATTTTTCCTAAAATGGCGGCGACATGTGCGGCGACGGAGCGGGGATGTCTGGGAAGGCGCGCAGACAAGGCGCGCTGACCCATAATGCATTCATTCATGACATGTGATCACATTAGCCAATCAGCAGCCAGCCAGCCAGCACAGTGTAATGGCTGGCTGTATTCA